CCTTTCGCACGAGAGCAAATCCCCGCTGATTTTCCACTGGAAGCACGTGCTCCAAGTGTATCCACGATCCAGGCTGGAGCAGGGATGAGGGAGGGATCCCTTTTGTAAGTGTTGGCCGGAGGAAATGGGACTTATCTCCCAGAAATGAATCCTGTTCCAGCAAAAGCTTCCTGCCCAAAGATTGTTCTCCCAGCCTTTGTTCGGGGTTTGGCAGCTCGGGAGTTGCTGGAGTTTGCAAAACCGGCCCTTCCCACCCTCTGATCCTGGGGCTGGAATGGGAAATAGGGAATAAAGGCAGAGGGAATGTGGAAGGTTAAATCCATCAGCACTTCTGCTCTGAGCTGCTGCAGGATGTGGAGCTTAAGGAGGAATTTCAAAGGGAAACCATGGATAAAGTCCAGGGGAATATGTGTGCTTGGTGAACATAGCTGTGCCACCTTGGAATTCTGGCATTGCCAGCTTGGAATTCTGGCATTGCCAGCTTTGAATTCTGGCTTTGCCAACTTGGAATTCCAGCATTGCCAGCTTGGAATTCTGATATGGCCAGCTTGGAATTCTGGCATTGCCAGTTTGGGATTCTGGCATTGCCAGGTTGGGATTCTGGCATTGCCAGCTTGGAATTCTGGCATTGCCAGCTTGGAATTCTGGCATTGCCAGGTTGGGATTCTGGCATTGCCTCAGACAAATCCCTGCCAGGTGCTCATGTTTCTTAAAAACTAGCCTCTAGTTCCTTTTTCTTTCCTGGAAGACCAGCCTTTTGGGATGGGGAAAGGACAATATCTCCTGTTCATGTTGCAGGAAATGTGGGGTGAATCCAGAAAATAAAAATAATTAAAGGAAAATCAATCCTTAGTTTCCTTCTCCAAAGGCTCCTTTGACAAGGCCTTTGCACCATTCCCATGGATCTGTTCCCACAGTTCAGGAGAAGAGGGAGGAGAAAGCCCCCCTTGCTTCTGGAGAACTTCAAATTCTTTTCTTCCCAACGGGCAGGGAATTTTTCCTGGGAAGGCAATTCCATTCCTGGCCTGGTGGGCTCTGTGCTCATTCCCAAACAGAGCCCTGAGGGGAAGAAGGCCTCGGGAAGCTCCCTTGGCCCTCAGCAACCCAAGCTGAGGTGAAAGAGCTTTGTTGGAATATGAATTAAGCTCCAGCCTGACCCTTTCCAGGGATATTTGTATTTGAAAAAGATTTAGGAGGCAACTGAAGTCTTTCAGTGCAGGGACAGGACATTAAAAAAAGGGATGAGTGCACTTTACTGTGCCCCAAACAAATCCTGGGACTGCAGAGGAGGGGGAATGGCATCAAAACCACAAAACCTATGGAGACACAGCTCAGAAACCCCCACAGGCTTGAATTGTTCTGTTAAAACTGGTTTAAATGCTGGTAACAATGGAATCATGGAATCACAGGGTGGTTTGAGTCGGAAGGGACCTTAAAGACCATCTGGTTCCACACCTCCCACTAGCCCAGGTTGCTCCAACCTGGCCTTGGACACTTCCAGGGAGGGGGCAGCCTGTGCCAGGACCTCTATTCTAATCAGGGTTTAGGGGAGCAGCTTAAGCCCAGCTTTGGTCCTAGAAGTGGGAGAAAGGGTTAAAGATGAGACCATAAACTTGGGATTTTTAATTCCTTGAGAAGAGAGCTTGAGGAGTGTGAAGGGATGGGCTGTGGAAGAGGGTCTTCTGCTGGGATTGATCTCTCCTCCTGCTGGGATTGATCTCTCCTCCTGCTGGGATTGACCTCTCCTCCTGCTTTCCTTTGCTTCCAGCCACCCCTCTGCTGCTGAAGCAGCTGCTGGAAGAGGTTTTATCTGCCTGAAGATTCTCAGAGTCATTAAGGTTGGACAAGCCCTCTAAGATCACCCACTCCAACCACCCCCCAGCACTGCCAAGGCCACCATTCACCTGTTTTCCCAGGTGCCACATCCACAGGGCTTGGAAATTCCTCCAGCAGTGGCGAGGTGACTTCACATCACTTGGGATTTCTGGGTGTGGTTTTTCTCTGGATGTCCAACCCTGATTCAGGTCCCTTTGTCACTGCACTCAGAATGGTAGTAAAGAGATTTATCCTTGTCCTGACTCCATGAGTTACTCCTGACAGCTCACAGCTCCCTCCTGTCCCAGGTTTCTGTGGGATGCAGGTTTCCCTCGCCAAGATCTCAGTGCTGAGGTGACCCTGACCTCTCACCCTTCCAGGGGGGTTGAATTTGCCACCCCAGAACTGGTGCCCGGGTGGTCCCAGTCAATCCAGCATTCCAAATCTCCAAGCATCCCCGGGAAAAATTGTCAGCACTCCCCTTTTTCTGATCCCTCTTTGCTGTCAGTGTGTGAAAACAGGGTGGCCTCGAAGGAAAAAACATCCCAAGGGGTGACATTTGGGATTTGGATTTGTTTGGGGTTTCTTTTAATTCTTCTTATTATTATCTCATATGATCTGTATCAAGGACTGGCTGAAAATCCAAAAAGCTGAAGGTTTTTTCCCCCTCTTTTGAAAATGAGGGAGTTGTCTGTGCTAAACTGAGCTAGGGTTGAGTAAAAACTGACTCAAAACCCCCCAAATCAGTACCTTTTACATCCCCACCTCAGTGCTTGGCTGCTTTCCAGGGAATATTTTGCATTTCCTGGGTGTCTTCTGTCGCCTTTCAAGAGCACAGAGACCAAGTGATCCCGGACTGATGTTTATCCAGGTTCCACATGTGTGTAGGTGCTTCCATGGAGGAGCATTCCCATTTTTTGGGATCTATCTGACCCTGCTGCATCAAGGGATTTCTTGATTTCATCCTCTTTTGCACAGAAGTTTGTCCCTACTCTTGGTCCCATCCCTTAATCTCTCCCGGGGTGGTGCAGGGGTGGGATTGGGAAGGACCAATTCAATCCCCTTGGGAATTAGGGGTGATAAATACTGTTGAAAAAGACTCCTCTGTACGAAAAGTAAAATAAATATATCCCTGTCCTGCCCAAGGCACCACTTTGGGCCTGGGTTTCCTGACTGCCCCACGGGTCAGATGAGCTCCTGCAGCATGAAAATCCCTTTCAGTAACCGATGGATATGTCTGTGTCCCAATCCATCAGCTCCAACGGGTTTTCTCTTAAAAATCTGGAGACTTTACAGCTCTCAAATTGTCAGGGCTTCCTGGAGTGTTTTCTGGCCTGGGCTCTCCCCTCAGGAACTGGTTCCTCACTGGCCTCACCACTTCTGCCTTCTCTGCCTTAAAAACCTCTTGTATCTCCTCTCCAGGCTCCAAATCGACCTCTCCAAGGCCACTCACCCCCAGGAGCCCCACAATTCATGGAAGAGCTTCCAATGATTTTCACCAGTAGTTGCAGAGGGAGGCCAAATGATTTGCTCTATCCTTAAATCCGTGATATTGGAGCACAGGGGGAGCACAGCCCTGACTTTTGTAGGTTCAGGGAAGGCACGTGGCAGCTGTGGTGGCACAGGATCCACTGTGCCTCGGGCAGATCCAACCATCTCCTGCTGCTCCAGGCCTGGCAGAGCAGAGCAGCACCAGACTAAAGGTGAATGGGTTTGGGTGCCTGTGCTGGGAGAAATCTCCCTTTTCGTGGTGAAATCACTTCAGAGCATCATTAAAGTGTGGGAGGGGAATCATTCCCTCCTGAGAGCTGTTAAATTCCCCTTCTGCAGTGGTAGTTTGGCTCTGCTGGTACTAAGCCCGGTCTAAGTTGTCATTTACTGTTAAGCAGGAGAGTGGAAGGGATGGGATGGATTTGTGCTGGTGTTAAAATAACCACTGGACACTGGGGCTCCGAAACCTGGCAGGGAATTAATGCATCGGAGCCACACGTGTCCAGTGGGGATTTGGCATCTTAAAATGTTTTTCTCTGGAGCTCGTTGGGATGGAATAATAGGATTTATGTTTTAATGGCTCTGGACACGACAGTGTTTTTTGAATTGCCGGAGTTGATGGAAGAAAAGGGATAATTCCAGTGTTTCCAGATCTACCATGACTGGAACAACCTGGTCTAGTGGAAGGTGTCCATGGCAGGGCTTGGATAGAGATGGGTTTTAAGGTCAATCCCAACCCAATCCATCCTTTGGTTCTATCTCCAGGCACACAAGTGATGCTCATTCCC